ATACATCATGTTTATTGATTTGCATATGTTGAAACATCCTCACATTCCTGGATTAAATCCCACTTGATGATGGTGAAAAATCTTTTTAATGTGCCGTTGAACTCAGATTGCTAGTATTTTGTTGAGGATTTTTGCATTTATTATATCAGGAATATTGGCTGTAGTTTTCCTTTTTCATTGTGTCCTTGTCTGATTTTGGTATAAAGGTAATGCTTGCCTTGTAGAATGAGTTTGAATGTATTCCCTTCTCTTCAATTTTTAAAGAACAGTTTTAGTGGAATTGGTGTTAGTTATTCTTTAAATGTTTCATAGAATTCAGTAAGGAAGCTATCAGTTCCTGGGCTTTTCTTTGATGGAAGACTTTTTACTGATTTAATATTATTATTTGTTACTGATCTCTTCAGGTTTTCTGTTTCTTCATGGTAGGTTATATGTGTCCACAAATGTGTCCATTTTTTCTAGTTTATCCAATTTGTTGGCGTATAATTGTTCACAATAGCCTTTTAGGATCCTTTATATTTCTGTGGTATCGGTTGTGGCATTTCCTTTTCTGTCTCTGATTTTATTTATTCTAGTTTTCTCTCCTTTTTTTCTTAGTCTGACTAAATAGATGTAACAGACATTTCCAGAACATTCCACTCAACAGCTGCAGAATATAGATTCTTCTCAACTGCACATGGGACATTCTCTAGGATAGATCATACAGTAAGTCACAAAACAAGTCTTAAAAAATTTAAGAAAATTAAAATCATTTCAAATATCTTTTTGAGTACAATGGTATAAAACTAGAAATCAATATAAGAGAATTTTCAAAAACTTTACAAACACGTGGAAACTAAACAACATGTTTAGTGTTTTTTTAAAAAAACAAAAACATAAATGAATGTTTATTTTTGTTCAAAACCTTTTCTGCAACTTTGGAGGTGATCATATAGTTTTTTTCCATAGAGAATGTTAATGTTTTCATAATATCAAACCAACTTTGCAGTTCTGGGATAAACACCACTTCATACTAATGAATTTTAAAAATATGTATTTTGTGTGCTAGTATTTTATTTAGGACTTTGTGTATATGCTTCTAAGCAAGATTGGTCTGCAGTTGTGTGTATGTATGCAAAATCTTTGTCATTATTAAATATTAGTAGACAGTTAAAAATCCTTACATATTTAAGAAAATTCTTTACTATGAAAGGCCAAGATTAACAAATAACAAAACGGAACTTGGAGGAAATGGAGATAAGCCAAAGGAAAACCATATTTAAAGAACAAACTTTAACATTTTCAGAGAGACAAGAAAATATATTACTTCAGAGCATAATACAAATAACTTGGAAATTAAAAATGAATTAACTAAAGTGGAAAAGACAATATCAGGGTTGGAAAATGATGAAGTGTTACCCAGAATGTAAAACAAGGAGCTAAATAAATAAAAATAGAGAAAAAAATAGAAGAATTTGCAAATTAGTCTAAATTAAAGTAATAGAATATCTATAAAATGACAATAAACAGACACTCTTTAAAATGAGAATAAAAAACAAAAATAATATTTTTGGAAATTAGAAAGTATCTGAAAATAGAATGATATGAAGTTCCAGATTGAAAGGGCCCACCAATTAATTACTCAGCAAAATGGAGACAGAAATACCTTAACATTTGGGAGACAATGGCATTATCTCCTAAATTTCTCTACTGAGTCAAACAATTATTCAACTATGAGGATAAAATAGATATTTTCAGACGTGTAAGTCCTCAAGATATTTCCTGCCATGTCACTTTGTCTGAGATCTCCTGGAAGAAGTGGTCCTCCATAAAGAGAACATATAGTACTTTGTGCTTTAGAGAAACAGAATCCAGATAAGGAAAATGGTGGAAGGCATCTCCAGATCTCCAGACTGATGATAAATGGAAATCCAATGCTGGAAATTGTGCATTTGCCATATTTAAGCAGAAGAGCAAGTTCCAGGCAGATGGTCTTTAGGAAGGAGATTTCCTAATATGTTGAATGCATTGAAAATGCATTACTGTGAGAATGCATTAATTGTCCACTAGAAATACATTTCTAGTGGAGAATTTAAAAACATACTAATGAACGACATAAAGAAATTTAACTAAATGAATACAAATAATTGTTTTTTGTACTATTCATGGACTGATAATGAATAACAATAGAATTTAATTTGGAAAATGCAAGCGTGAAGGGGATCATTGAAAATTTGTTAGGATCAATGTAAGGTTCTTTTGTGACGAAATGAATGTTGGAATTTGAGTATTTTGGAAAGTAAGTTGGATGATAGGAGGTAATTGCCAAGGGAGTAGGATGCTTTCAATTGGGAATATGGAAGCATAGCAATTATTAGCAATGACAAGTCTAGGTTATGATTACAGGAATAAATAGTGACGTAAGAATGGAATACAAGAGCTTTGGAGGAGAGGAAGTCAAAGAACTGAGAGAGGGGGACGTTAAACGGATCATCTATATCAATGCTAATACCAAGAATCAAAACAGAAAGAGTTCTGGCAAGAGTAAGAGTTAGCCCAGAACTAAACTCTTCAGGGAATAAAGCAGAGTGACCCAGGGCTTTGTGGATGACTGCAGCAAGGAGGGATTCTGGGAGGGATAGCCCGAGGACATGATATTTGAAGCCTGGAGTTCTTAGGGAGGAGGGTGGTGCAATGGTTGGAAACCAATGGTACCTGGAGTCGGGGAGGGAAAACAACCACCATGTAAGTGAGCTGTTAGAGAAACTATGTCCCAAGGGGAGAGTCGAGCAGCAGGCGGTGGGGACAGAGGATTGAAAGTCTAGGGAAGAGTATGAAAATATTAGAGCTCATCACCTTCACCATCTATACCTAAGGTTTAAAAAAAAATAAGGAAATTCAGTGAATTCTCTCGAGCAGCCATCCTTCAGTCCTCAGGTTGGCTAAGAGCTCCTGTCCTGTGGTCTGCTGTGCATATCTTTGTCTAGCATTACCATATAAGAAGTGACCTTTAGAGGTTCTGCTCCCTCAACTCATCTTTTTTTGATTTTTGAGACAGAGTCTTGCTCTGTCACCCAGGCTAGAGTGCAGTGGCACAATCTTTAGAGGTTCTGCTCCCTCAACTCAACTGTTAACCCTTGAAGGGTTAACATAATATCAGACCAACTTTGCAGTTCTGGGATAAACACCACTTCTATCTTTGGTAGAAATGGCAAGCTGGAGGGAGAAAAATTATGTTTCCAAGGAAGATTATAGCATACGTGTTATTAGATTGCAACCCTGACCATTAATTGTTTTTGAGTTTTTATTATTTTCCTAAAATTTGGATTGAATCCCCAGTGAAATAGTTTTCACCACGTATCTCTCATATCTTTATTTCTTCCAAGAAAAACAAAAGCATACAGCTTCAAAAACTAGAGATAATTCAACAAGCAATGGAAGTTATACAAATCAGTGACTTGACTGGGATCTATCTAGGAATGAGCCTTCCTTGGGAAGCCAAGGGATGAAGGATGCCTATTATTCTAACCTAAGCAGAGTTTGATCAACAATGCTTCCGTGGGAAGATTTTTGATCAAAGAGGGGAGAAAAGAGAAAAGAAAAGTAGCTCAGAGTAGTGTGAGCTATCTGAGGTATGCAAAATTTATTAGGCCCAGAGAGATATGAGTATGTGACTTCAGCCATGCTCCCCACCTCCCATCCCCAACTGAACTCATGCCTAGGGCAATTGTTTAAAGTCATTTTGTTTCTGACTAGCTACCTCACTCGTTATCTTCAGGTTCTTGAATATTGTGAGATAGATACCATGGATAGCCAATCAATAGCTTACGTTATTTTAATGTAATTCTTGCTAAACAACTTAGAAACTGCCTCCTATTTTCTTTTAAAAATCTACTTACAACTGCTGCTAATCAGAGTATATATTCAGAACAACTTGAATCTATGGTCCCACAATGTGATCCTTCAGTGCTGCCCAAATAAAGTATTTACTTATATTAATTATGACTCAGCATGTTTTTAGGTCAACCAGCAAAAGATCTTGCAGGTAGAAGACGGACAGTATATGTTTCTTGGATTAGATTAATGACTACGCACTATAATTATTTCTCTCTCAAAAATATGAATCGTTGGAAGTCAAAAAAGTGTTTTATTTCTCCTTGAACCATATTTCTGAGAAAATAATAGGTACGCACAACATGATTTGAAACATAAATTCACCAAATGGACTCATTTGCATTTCATCCAGGAATTTATCTCAAGTGAAATAGAATTCATTTGGCCAACGGTAACAGGATAACATATTTTTCCATCATCTATTGCTGTCTAACAAACTACCCCAAAATTTAGTGACTTAAACATAACATAGTGACTTAAACTTAACAATGTATTATTTTTCACAATGCTGCAACCTGGGTTGGGCTCAGCTGAGCTGTTCTTCTCTATGTCACATCTACTGGAGCTGTTCACTCACATGCTTGAAGCTGGGTTGGTTAGAACATCTGGGGCCTGGCCAAGCATCTCTTTCTCTCCTGTTCTCACAACCTGCCTAGCTTAGACTTCTTTACGGTAAGGTGATCTCAGGATATTTGGGCTTGTTACCTGGTGTCTGGCTCCCAAAAGAGGAATTAGAAGTTGAAGAGCTTTTAAGAACCAGGCTGCAACTGGCAACAGTGTCACTTCCACTGTGTTCTTTTCATCAACAGCAAATCACAAAGTCAGCCTACATTCAAGGACAGAGAAACTACATTTTATCTGTTGATGTGAGAAACAAAATGCACATGGAAGTAAATGACTTTGTGAGGAGGTGGTGGAAGAATTGATGGCAGCTTGGAGACTAGCTCCACAATGTCTACAGTGAGACTTTCCATTTCCTGTAAGCCCTGTTCAAACTCTATTAAGGTGATCAAATTCACCTTAGGAGACAACTAAATAACTGAAATAGTTTGTATATTAGTTCCTGCACAAATCTCACATTAGATTGTAATTTCCGATGTTGGAGGTGGGGCATGGTGGGAGGTGATCTGATCACTGGGGTCAGGTTTCTTATGATGGTTTAGCACCATCCCCTTGGTGTTGTCCACACGACAGTGAGTGAGATCTGGTAGTTTAAAAGTGGGTTGCATCCACCCTTGTCTTGCACCTGCTTTCACCATGTGATGTGATTGCTCTCTTTTTGCCTTCTGCCAAGATTGAAAGCTTCCTAAGGCTTCCCCAGGAACAGATGCCACTCTGCTTTCTGTACGGCCTGTGGAACCATGAGCCAATTAAACCACCTTTCTTAGAAATTACCCAGTCTTGGGTATTTCTTTATAGCAATGCAAGCATGGCCTAGTACAATAACTTTAGATGCAGTTTTGAGGTCTGCATCAAGATCTCTGAAACTTCACAAGGACAGCTTCCAAACCCCCATTCACTTGAATATAGTTCCATTCAATGGTTATTGAACACTTACCAAAAACAACACCTTATTATTAGCCTTTTTGATTCGTTCAACCTCATTTCTCCAAAACTTCCCAGGTCTCCTGCCCTTGTTCTTATTACTGGGCCTGTTGCCACATGACATTGTAAGCCTGAAGCATCACGTGCCTGGAGTGTCTGTTTCACTGTTCCTTGTTACCACTCTTGGAATAGGCGTGGAACAAACCCTCATCCTCTCGGAATGCTAGGTAGACTCATGACCAGTAGTAGGTACATTTTGGGGGCTCCTTTCTGTCTACAGTTACTAATTCTTCTTGTATCCTCCTACCCTCACCTCAGGTAAACACTTATTTTGCTTTCATGCCAAAGTAAATTTAGTTTTCATTTGTATTTCATGTTACTCTCTATATATATATGTAGAAGCAGCCTGGAGCTTTGATGTGCTCAGCTGTGCCAGCCTTACCTTTATTAGAATACTGGACTCTTGACGGAGGATGTTACCTAGACTTAACCAAGATGGTTTCTAGACAAAACTCGTTATGACTATTGTGGTATCAGAGTGTTTGAAGTATTGAATGGTTTCAGTTGCTGTAGCAAAGGAACAATGGAGTTTTCAATTATATGTTATATTCTGAAACTGTCTTTCAATAGGAACAAAAAAACCCCAGTAACTTTAGACATTAAATGTATTTTCCTTTGTGTATCAATAAATTATTTCTTTATAAAATTGGTGTTGGAGAGGTAATTTTTCTTTTTCAAAATTAGAAAGTTAATCACAAAATAGGCTTTAGTGTTAATCTCAAAGGTCACACTTTTGGAGGTTGGTTTTACAAGAAGAAAAACAAAACCCACAGTTGAGAAATTGAGTTGAGAGTTAATATTCTTCACAGGAAATTCCTGTAAAGGAAACCAGCTTACTCACTCTTTCAACTAAACCCAACCACAAACTTTATCTCGTCAAGGAGGTTGGTCAGAGAAGAGTTTTAGATGCTTCTTCTTCAGAGCATTGCCTAGGAAAGAGGTAGTTTATTTGATTTTCCTCTGCATGACCATCCATTTCACAATGTCAATGGTCATTTACAAAATAAGGCTTTCCTTTTTCATCCAGTTATTACCCATTATTTTTGAGCTGATGCGAGTTACATGGCTACTGTGTCTTCTCCAGGTATCTCTCTGGATAGGAAGAAATATAGTAGAACCCTTTGAAAACGGATATTCTCACATATTTTCCTTCAGATACAAAAGCCGGCAGTCACTGAAATAAAGACTTGAAGTTCCTTCCTCTTTTTTTTAATGTCTTAAGAGCAGGAAATAAAGGTAAGAGAGTGGTACTTTTTTTTTTCCCCCACTAGATTTCCTAACCAGAAAATATAAGTTGGGAAAAGAGTTTAAATAATTTTAAAAATGAATTGCTAACACAATTACTTTTCAAGAACTATTTTAGAATAACAAATGTGTTATTTACTAACAGAATTTTCATCTCCAAATATATGGAGTCTTCACTAAAAAAAGAGGTGGTTATAAAATAAACCTGTTTATAGTGCTTTGAGCATTTTACAGGAAGGGCTAAGAGCAGAGAAATTCAAGATGTTTACCAAATTTGAATGCCCATTTAAACTTAACTGTGACATCTTTGATGGCAGGCACTACGGCTTCATTTTCTGTTATCCCTAGACAATGGGGTCTAAAGCCACCACGGACCATCTGAGAATCATAATGATACTAGTTGAATTAAATACTGTCACTATTACACGAGACCAAATCTCTGTCTGCAGGTGTTCTCTGTGTAAAGTGGTTTAAGTCTGCCTTTGATGGTGATATTTCTCTCCCTGGCCTCAGATCCCTGTTGACACTGCTTTCTCTAGCACTTTCCTCTCTCTTCCCCGTTTCCCACCACAAAGTTTTATGGGGAAAGTTTAGTTCATTATTTCTCCCAGAGACAGCTGAAGGTGTAGCCTTGATAACTGAAAGGGAAATCTTCATCCTCTGACAAAAGATATGTGATTCTCCAAAAACGCATCTGGAAAATAACTGAAGAGATTCTGTAGATTGTCCCAGCGCTGTTAGACTCTCAGTTCCTTCTGTGAAGGACAGCGTATGGTGATGGGGAAATCAGAAGCTTTGAGACCCTCTATACCTAGATATGAATCCCCCTGCTAATACTTACCAGGTATGTGATTATCATTGAGAATGGGCACTGCCATTCCAAGCAATGCGAGCCTTGGTTGTCCATCTGTAATACGAGAAGGACAGTGCTCCGCTTCACTTTACAGAAAGTAAATGAGGGCCACATTATTTTATTCCCATCAGTAGAGTCTGAGGCTTGCTTTGGCTTAAGTTGTCCAGTGCTCAATAAATGGTGTCCTCTGCATTTGTGTGGCTCCTTCCGATTCAGTGGAGCATGTTAGTGACGGCAGCATGGAAGACGTCACTTAGATATTAGACGGCCTTCAAAAGGTAGATATTAACAAGCAAGCCACACAGTGTGGGCACGTTGTCCCACATAAATGAGACTTCCAGAATGGGCTTGGACTCACATCGGTCAGTTGCCCACAGTGCTGGCAACAGCTACTGTGACTCAGCACTGACCCACCTCCCCAAGCTCTATGCTTATCCCTGAGCAGGGCTTCTCAAAGATGTCTCCTGGATGAGCATGGTGGCTCTGACGCTTGTTTATAATGTAGGTTCCATTGTTCTTCTCCTTGAGAATCTGATTTAATAAGTCCTTGGGAAGCCCAAAAATCTGCATTTGTAATAAGTGTTTCATGTGATTATTTTAATCAAGATGATTTGAGAAACACTGTCCCAGAGTGAAAGCTGAAGCCTGAAATCAGCTCCAGGCAGCCGGAGGTCTGAGGCTGGTGCCTGGGTGGGTGCCTCCTAGGCAGTATCTGTCATCTCAAGGTTGGCAGAAATTCCTGAGGGCTGGAGACCACTGGGCGTCATGGTAACTAATTTGCTATAGGCTTGGACATTTGGACATAAATTGCAAGATGGAAGAGCTGGAATGATCTTAGCAATCATCTGGTCTTATGATTTACAAGTCAGGGAGCTTTTTTAAAAATTACAAATATCCTGACTTAAACATCAGAAATTCTGATTCCCTCATTCTAAGGTGGAGGAAGTACTGATACAGTCCAGACATTTTATTTTGCAGGTAAGAAAGCTGAAGTCCAGAAAGAGACTACGTGATTTAACTGGAGTCACACAGTAAGTGAATTACCATAATAGATTGCAATGTGTTTGCTCTGACGACTCTGGAAGTGTTTATCATTTCTGAAAAAGTGAGCAGAGATCGTGTTTCAGAAATCATATCTCCTGACCCTAGGAGAGTGCCAGAGGAATAATCTCTGCTCTTCAGGATCTCCCAATCTACTGGGAGGACAAGGTGTAAGGAACAACTCATCTACTGCAGACGGTTAAATCCTGAACAAGTCGTTACTGAGCTCTTGTTATTAGCTAGGCACCATTCCTGGAGAGAGGCTGCCGGACTCAGAAAGACAAACTCAGTTCCTGCTGGGATGGAACTTATATTCTAGTTGGGGAGAAGTTTTAGGAATAAGATATTTTCAGACAATAATGTGTGCTAAGACAGAAGTCCTCTGAAATGAGAAGCAAGAGAGAGGGTTGGCAAGAAGGGAGGGAGAAGCTTCTTTATCCAGGTGGTCAGGGAACGACTCTCCAAGGAAGAAATCAGAGATAAGACATGAGAGAGCCAAACGCTACAGGGTTTGTCTATGGTGCTCTGGAATCTGTGCTTCATCACATGGGTGGTGGGAGCTGGTGGCGTCTTGGCCATGGAAATGAGATGCTCAGGCTTGCTTCTTAGGAAGATGTGTCTGGTGATGGAGCTGGAGGATTGTTCTTTCAGAGACTTTGTGGAGAAGGGAAAGGCAAGTGGGAAGACCATATATACAGAGTAGTATGTGCAAACATTCTCAAATTTTATCAGTAGGAGCTATATCTCTAGATTTCCAAACCGCGAACAAGCTGGCATTTTTATTCAACGTGCGTCATTTTTTTCAGGAAAAGTTAAACATAACTCTTTCCAAATTACTCATGGAAATATACATGCTAGGTGAGCACATCAGACAAAAAAAGATTAATGAGGGGAAAATGGCATTAAAAGAACACACTACATAGAGCCTAGGGATATCGGGAGCTTAAGATGATTTGTAAGAAATGACACAATTGAAAAGGTTGTTCCACACAATTGGAAATACCCACATAAGTTAGAGGCATGTGAAGGCCGGTTTGGGTAGGACCTGCCCTTTCAAAGCTTCCTGTGTAAGTTGCACTTCGGTCACCGGTTCTGATTTCTTCATTTCCCATTTCTTGATTTACAGAAATGAAGGGGATACGCAGGGCAGAGTTCTGAATCTCAAAACACTCTACTCTAGCAATGGAATGAAATTATTGAAGTGATGACAGGAACATGGGAGAACAATGCTCTATTTGGGCTGGATGTTTCTTTGGCTTGTCTCAGGAGAGAGAATTAAAGGATTTAATATTTCAGGTAGGAATTTTCACTTTTCATATTAGCACTGTGGGTCTGTGGTCAAATGTAAAGTGATGGATAACCTGATATATCAGCAGCATGACATATTAATACATAACCTTTCCATCCTACTGCTAAAAAGGGACTGAGAGGAGAATTATTGGGGTGAACAGCTTTCAGCTGATACCAAGCATTGAGCAGGTACCCTATTACTGTAGTTGAATGTTCAGTGAGAGCAGCTGAAGAGGGATGAGCCAGGGTTCTACCGTCTTTTCCAGGAAACCAGGGCTGCTGCTGGTGATGCTGGAGTCCACTGGGAGGGAATTAGAACAGGCACTTCCTTTCCCCTACAAAATGGACAGTGAAGAAGAAAGACACACAAGGAAGCTTAATCTCTTGTTAAATCAAGTACTAGATGTAAATGTAAGCTAGAATTCCATTTTCTAATGTGTTTCCATGTTGTTCTGTTTATTATGATTTTCAGGTTGTTCCACAAAAAAACTCCTTTGGACATATTCTACAAGAAGTGAAGAGGAATTTATCTTATTTTGTGATTTACCAGAGCCACAGAAATCACATTTCTGCCACAGAAGTCGACTCTCACCAACACAAGTCCCTGAACACCTGCCCTTCACGGGTAGTAAGGACCTATCTGATGTCCAATGGTACCGACAACCTTCGAATGGAGACCCATTAGAGGACATTAGGAAAAGCTATCCTCACATAATTCAGGACAAATGCACTCTTCGTTTTTTGACCCCAGGGGTGAATAATACTGGGTCATATATTTGTAGACCCAAGATGATTAAGTACGTTCCAAATGTATTTCTATCTGAAAACATTTCCAAATCTTCTATTATCTAGACAAAATATCTACGTTCACAGGATCTTGTTAATTTCCTAGGAGCCCCTGCGATGTAGCCTGTTGTGTCAAGATGATTTTAGAAGTTAAGCCCCAGTCAAATGCATCCTGTGAGAATTCTGCATCACATAAGCAAGACCTACTTCTCGGGAGCACTGGCTCTATTTCTTGCCCCAGTCTCAGCTGCCAAAGTGATGCACAAAGTCCAGAGGTAACCTGGTACAAGGTAAGAGTGAATTCTCTAAAATTAATGTAAGAGTGTTGTTTTCACGTTATCATCTTCATGGGTTTTTTTCATGGAAAACCGTGTTTGAGAATCTGGGGTCTACAGCTTCTCAAAAACTGGTCCTATGCCACTGCAGGAGATCTGACTTTCTAAAATAATCGTGTCCCCTGGGAAGCCACAGAGCTTGATATTCTAATTATTAGAGGCATCCTTTTGATCAACACTAGAAAAACTTCTAAAATGCAAGTATACTACACATGAGGTTAGACGTAAACCTACTAACATCTGCTAATGTAGGAAGATAGGTTCACTCATTTTCACTGTCTTCAGAAAGCAACAGGCATTGCAAAGGGGAAGAGAGCATCCAACACGTAACTCTTGAAGGGTTTGTGAAAGATATGGGAGCCTGAAATACATTCCCAAAAGGACAGCTCTTGGAGGACAGTTAGGACAAATCCAAGGTGGACCTCAGTGACAGATGTCTTGCGCAGGTGAGATGATGGAAAGGAGTACAGTGCTAAGAGAAAAAGGGAACAAGAGCAAGTTTCACAATGACTTTGAGCTATGAACCACATGTACGTGAACTCCCATAACAGAAGAACTTCATATTTCCGTCGGGTTTTATAGCGTTTCCAAGTGCTACCAGATGACGAAATGCTGCCTAACCATCTCCTCCAACAGGGCCCCCTGTCAGTTGACTCTTGGGTGGTGGAATCTAGGAGTAGAATCTAAATCGCTTCCTACAATTGCAATAACTATTTGAAGTCCAATAATTTGTCTTCAAAATTATGCACAATTTTGTATTCAACCTCATAATATATGTGTTTGTTAATATAAAAATATCATTCTAAATTGCTACTGATTAAAGTCAGAAAGATGAGTTATGTTTATCTAATGGTTTAATGCATCCCAAATTTTAACAATGAGAGTCTCCTGGGGATACAGTTACCATGGTATGAGGAGACATTTCCCTACTTGATTCCTAAGACTCCATGCTAATAGGAGGACAGATGTTATCACATCCTTTACAGATATATATAGGGAGGACGAATGGCATGAGGTATGGTCTCACGTTTGTGTTTTTATATGACACTAAAAGTATGCTGGTCTCAATAAAACCCTAATTTCAGAAACATTCATTTCATAACCTCTAAAATGAGGTTAGTAGGAAGAGCCAATAGTTTTGTTCATTATTTTCACTTCTCTCTCAAGAACAAAACTTCCTTTGGTTCAAAGTATCTGTCGTCCAGGATGGCAGCTGTCTTGTCTTGGTGGGCTGTTCTCAGGCCAGTAAAGCAGTCCTGTCTCCATTATTTCAGATGAAAATGTGCTTGGCTTTTCAATGATCATACACCTGAAGTGAAAGTTATGAATTTTTACTTTTCAGGCGAGCAGAAGTTGCATAATAGTTTCCAGCTGTCTGCAAATATTGCTTTTATAAACTAAACCCTAAAACTGCATGACATTCACAAAAGGAAGCTCTGTTTCACTTCCCTGGGACTTTGACTGCAAATGTCAACAGGTGTTTAATGGTGGACAGGCAGCTATCCTAAGGATAGGTGAACAATGGCTGTTATTAAAATTGTACCTCTGATACAGATTTGAACAGGTCCTGGTTTTGTGAATTACACATACGTGCGTGTGCACTCACACACACACATGCACACACAAGCACATAGTAACCTGGAAATCACAGACCTTATGGCAGTAGTACATCACTAAAAGTGATGGCATGAGGCAGGAAAAAACACCTACTACCTTTTTCCTTCATGCTAACCCCCAAATTCTCAGGTGGTGGGTGGATCATACCTATGACCCATCTCTGAATAGATGAAGCTGACACTGGCTGAGAGAATGAAAACATGGCTTTATTGAATTCAAATGAAACTGCTGACCAGGGATATACCCACCAGATATGCAGAGTATACAACTGATATAAATCCCTGGACTTGGAGTCTCTGGAGCATTCCACAATATTTTTAATTGGCAAATTAAAAACAGGCTTGCAGACGGTTTTGAAATTTTTTTTCAACTTCTTTATTTTAAAATTATTTTTAATTAACAAATCATAATTGTATACATTTACAGGATACGACGTGATGTTTTGATATATGTATACAATGTGGAGTGATTAACTTAAGCTAATTAACACATACATCACCTTGCTTACTTATTTTTTGTGGACAGGCATTTGAAACTTACTCTCTTAGTTATTTTGAAATGTGCAATACAATATTATTGGCTATAGTTATCCTGCTATGAAATATGTCTGAAAACTTATTCCTCCTATCTATCTGAAACTTTGTACTCCTTGACCAGTATTTCCCTATTCACCCTCTTCTCCCCACCAACCAAGCCCCCACTAATCGTCATTCTACTCTCTACTTCTATGAGTTCAACTTTTTAAAGTTCTATATATGAGTGAGATATTGCAGTTTTTCTCTTTCTGTGCCTGGCTTATTTCACTTAGCATAGTTTTCCAAGTTTATTCGTGCTTGTCCCACATGATGGAATTTCCTTTTGTAAAGGCTGAATAGTATTTCATTGTGTACGTGTACCACATTTTCTTTGTTCATTCCTCTGTTGATGGACACTGAGGTTGATTCCATATCTTGGCTATTGTGAAGAGTGCTGCAGTAAGCACAGGAGCGTAGTTAACCCTTTGCTGTATTAATTTCAATCTCTTTGGATATGTACCCAAAAGTGGGATTGCTGAATCATATGGTAGTTCTATTTTTAGTTTTTATTAATGAGTCTTCATAGAGTTTCTCATAATGGCTGTACTAATTTACATTTGTACCAACAGTGTGACAGATTTTTTTTTTTTTTTTTTTTTTGATAAAAGCCACTCTAACAAGTGTGAGGTCATATGTCGTTGTGGTTTCAATTTGTATTTCTCTGATTATTAGTGATACTCAGCATTTTTTCATATAGTTGTTGGTCATTTGCATCCTTTCTTTTGAGAACTACCTTTTCAGATCTCTTGCCTATTTTTAAAATGGGCTATTTGTTTCCTTGCTAATGCAGTGTTTGATTTCCTTATATATTCTTGATATTAACTCCTTATCAGATATATGGCTTGTAAATATTTTCCCCATTTGGTGGGTTGTCTCTTTACTCCATTGATTGTTTCCTTTGCTACACGGAAGCTTTTTTGTTTTATGCTATATCATTTGTCTATTTTTGTTTTTGTTGCCTGTGCTTTCAAGTTCATATTCAAAAAAATATTTGCCCATAACGATGCTGTAGAGCTTTCCGCCTATGTTTTCTTTTAGAAGTTTTACAACTTTAGGTCTTATATTTAATTCTTTAATCCATTTTGAATTGATGGATCATATGTGCTATGAGATACAATTTCATTCTTCTCCCTGTAGACAATCAGTTTTCCTAACATCATTTATTGGAGAGATAATCCTTTCCCCGTTGTGTGTTCTTGGCATGGTGTTGTTTTCTTTTGTTGTTGTTGTTTTTTTGTTTGTTTGTTTGTTTTTTTAAATATATTGACTGCGAATGTGTAGGTGTCTTTCTGGGCTATCATATTCCATTTGTTGATGTGTCTGTTTTTATGCCAGTACCATGCTGTTTTGATTTAAATGACTTTGCAATATATTTTGGAATCAGGGAGTGTGAAACATCTAGCTTTGTTCTTTTTGCTCAAGATTGTTTTGGTATTTGGGGTCTTTTGTAGTTCCATATGAATTTAGGGATAGTTTTTTGTATTTCTGTAAAAAATAACAAAGGGGTTGGTTTTGAATGCGTAGATCACTTTGAGTAGTAAGGACATTTTCTCAATATTAATTCTTCTGATCTATGGACACAGGATACCTTTATATTTATTTGTGTTTTCTTCCATTCCTTTTGTTAGTTTTTTAAATCATTTTCAGTATATAGGTCCTTTACCTTCTTGGTTAAATTTATATCCAACTATTTTACTATTTTGGTTCCTATGGTAAGTGGGCTTGTTTACTTAATTTCCTTTTCTGCAGACAGTTCATTATCAGTACAGGGAAACACTACTGATTTTTATAATTGATTTTATATCCTGTGATTTTAATGAATTCATTTATCACTTCTAACAGTTTTTTGGTGGAGTCTTTAGAGTTTTCTACAGATGAAATCGTGCCATCAACAAATAAAGACAATTTTACTTGTTTTTCTACTAAAATGCTTTTTATTTCTTTCTCTTGCCTAATTGCTCTGGCTAGGACTTCCAGTACTATGATGAAAAGAGGTGGTAAGAATACACATTCTTGTTTTGTTAATCCGATCTTAGAGGAAAAGATTTCAACTTTTCACAATTGAGTATGACATTAGCTATGGGTTTGTCATATATGGCCTTTGTTGTATTGAGGTACATTCCCTCTATGCTTAATTGGTTGAGAGTTTTTACATGAAGGGTGTTAAATTTTGCCAAATGATTTTTCTGCATCTATTGAGATATGGTTTTTATCTTTCATTTTATTAATGTAGTCTATCATATTTATTGAAATGTGTGTACTGAATTGCATCCCAGGGATAAATCCCACTTGATCATGGTGAATGATTCTTTTAATGTATAGTTGAATTTGGGGATGAATATTTTGTTGTGGATTTTTGCATCTGTATTTTTCAGGGATACTGACCTGTAATTTTCTTGTAATGCCCTTTTCTGGCTTTGGTATCAGTGTGATGCTTGCTTCATAAAATTAGCTTGAAGTTTTATTACTGATTCAGACTCCTTATTCATTATTGGTCTGTTTAGATTTTCTATTTCTTTATGATCTTGGTAGGTTGTATGTGTCTAGGAATATAGCTGTTTCTTTTAAGTTATTCATTTTATTGGCATATAATTGTTCATAGTAGCTTCTTATAATCCTTTGTATTTTTGTGATATTGATTGTAATGTCTCCTCTTTCATTTTTGATTTTATCTATTTGAGTTTTCTCTTTTTTCTTAGTCTAGCTAAGAGTTTGTTGATTTTGTTTTTAGTTTTTTCAATAAACCAACTCTTAGTTTCATTC